CACACACACACACACACACACACACACACACACACACACACACACACCTCAGTGAATAGTTAGTTGCAGCCCTGATTGGAACCCTCTAGCCAAAACATACCTTCAAGGTTTTCAATGACTTCAATGTTGTTCAAGGCCAGATTCAAATACTGCAGCTTCTTCAGGCGGCCGACATTCTCTGGATGAACCGATGAGATGAAGAAGAGATGAAACAAGTGATTAGAATGTGTCAGTCTGTATTAAAGCGGGGGATTGTAGTCGTACGCTTTGCGGTTCTGACCGCGGTTCCCCCACCGATCCTTGGTATGAGGTTGCTCTGCAGGTAGAGGATCCTCAGCTCTCTGCACCACCTGTCCAGGTGCTCCATCCTCTCGATGTCCTGCTGGTGCAGAGAAACCTCCTCCAGGGAGAAGATCTCACACTCGTTGTGCTCGGCCCGCCGGCGGACCATGTCCTCTGTGACTGGACGGACACAAACATTAAGAAATAAGTGAGAAGAAGATATTAAATACACATGAAACCATGAGGAGGGTCACTCTGTTTCTAATCCACCCAATGCACGGTCACTTAACTGTTATTGTTCTTATCCTAAAATCATATTTATATGAGTCTATATGTTTTGTTATATCGTGTCTGACGGACATTTTAAAGTCTTTATTTATTCAACTTAAATCATTTTCATTGTTATTAACAGCTGCTGTATGAATACAACTTAACTTTAATTTAGTCTAACAACGTTATCCAACTATAAATTATGAACATTGTTGACGGTTGAAAACGGGAAAAAGCTTCTTATGTTAGTAATAATAGTAGTTACGTCACCACTAACTAGACCTACTAACTAATATTATTCAGCAAATATAAAGTTAAAGGTATAATTTAAACATTACGGTGGTTAACTTCAGTATAACAGCAGAGTAACGATGTTTATTAAACTCACTGAAGACCATCTTCTTCTTCTTCTGTTGTTAAAAGCGTTACTGTAGAAACCGACCTGGTGCTGCCTTCATGGACTGTGGTAAATAGTACAACTACAAGTTAGTTCAACTTTTTCTCAAATTTAGTATTTCCCCACAACTTGAAAGTAGCGTTTGGTGTGTTTTAACTACACTACAGAATATATTATCAGTTGTAATGAGTCACGTTTTACCAACTGATCAGCTGCTTAGTATTAAAAAATATATAATACGCAAAATATGCAATTATCTATAGATGTCAAATAAATACAATGGAGCAAATAAATACAATTAAGTATAATAATATTAAATTTAACTAAACAGTAGTGCAACGATTTAACCAATCAACAAACAAACAACAGAGTAAACATAACATAACATAAAATGTGTTACCTTTATGTGGTTTAACAGAAATGGAATCTATAGTTTACGAGGCGCACTCGAAGGCAGCACCCCGGTGATCCTCTCTGAAGCTTTTATTTTGAAAGTGGCATTGCGGAAGTTGTTCCGTTAACCCACTTTTAGAGGAGACAGAAGAAGATGACGGTCTACAAGGCGCTCCACTGTCAGTTAACGTCCATCATGGAGGCGCTGACCAGCGCCGCGGTGTCGGAGATCTGCGAGCTGGTGGACGAAGGCTACGCGGTGTTGAGGCTCGAGATCAGCCGGAGCCACAAGGAGAACCAGGACCTGAGGAGGAAGCTGGAGCTGATGGAGACCGTCGTCGACCACCGGGACCACCACCGGGGGAACGTCGGGAGGTTGGGTTACGGTGGGCTGGACGACGAGGGGAGCTTTGTGGACTTAACTCCCGGTGGGTTTTAGGGTCCTTTTTTAGTTTGTTTACCCCACAAACACTCAAGTGTGTCCGGCTTTTACATTTCGGTGACACCGAGGATGGTGCGTTGAATGACAACAGACCAACATCCGTCATTGAACGCACCACCGTTTTAAACGAACTATTCTTAAATTGTTACTTCACTGAACCAAGTTCCGAGATATAAACTCGTATTTATAAGCGTCACATTGCTCACACACAGTAAGTACAGTATGTGTATAATTACTGTATAGTAAGTAACGTGTACTTATACACAGCAGTGAGATTACTCTTCTTCAATCAACATGAAATAAATCAATATTAACGTTGTTTCCATGCAGAGCGTTCCTCAGCAGCAGCAGGGCCCAAACAGATGAAAGTAAATCTCAGAAGAAGTGGACGAGTCCCCGGGTCAGAGGTCACGACTGAGCGCACCTCAACCACACAGGTTGGTTCTCTCAAACATCTCGTCTGCTGCAACAGTTAGTCACGTTCTCTCTGTCCGAGGAAGGGTTACTGAACGAGACCACCAGGCTCAGGGGCCAAAGGGTCAGAGACCCCCTGAACAACACCTACAAGATGTCACTCAAACAGACCCGAACCGACTAGCAAGAGACTCAAGATGAACACAACGAGACACAAAGAGTACAACGCAACTACAAAGAGATGCAAAACAGCTTACAACATCAGAAGGGGCAAAAACAACCACACAAAATGACCTCAAAGAGACACAACAACTACAAAGAGAGTTGGTTATTTTGTTTAATCTTTGAAAGTTTAGTTAATTGTGTGACTGAGGAGAAGTCAACAGTAATTAGCATTTGATGAACGAACGTATAAAAGAGTTCAGTGTCAATAAAACTAGAATGATATAAATATGATGATGTTAGTCAGTGTGACCTGGAGTCCTCCTACATGGAGCTGTTCTTATGGATGAACAGGACATTTATTGTTGTATTATTGTGTTCCTGCTGGTTTAATCACATCACTGCAGCCTTCAGTCAGTGTGGAGCTTCGTGGTGGAGTTTGGTGCATGAATGTTACTCTTAAGTGACGTTGTGCTGTAACGTCTGTAATCGTCTATAAGAGCACATTTAAAGCCAGTTGATTCCGTTCTTTTCTACTTTCAGGATTCTTCAGCAGCAGCAGAGGAGCTGAAGGACCAGGATGTAGTTCTGATAAAGGAGGAGTCGGAGAAAGTGGAGGTGAACGAGGAGGAGGAGGAGCTGCTGCTCAACGAGGACGGTGAGAGAGGAGCGACTGTAAAGTTAACGTTTATTTATGAACCGGCTACGATGTGAAGACAATGTCTTGTTTTTTTACTTTATTGTTTTGTTTTATGTCTGTTTAGAACTCGTTTGCTCTTTAATTAAACTCTTTTATTCCACCGTCGTGGTCAAAACCTCGATAGTAAATATTCCGGTTATAATAAAGGTTTGAATAAATACGTTGAAAATGTAGCCGCCAGCTTTGTTCAAACACTCAAGAAAGTGACCGTTAGTCCTCTTTCATAAAGCTGAAGCAAGAAGGAGAAACGCCTCACACAGAGGGAGGAGTTAAGCCACAAAACAAGGAAACACATTTCAGTCTTAAAGTAGCACTTCATCTTTTATTTATGTGTTTCAGTCTATAATAAGAACATGCACCGCAGTTACAATAGCAACTACTGTCCACCAGGGGGCGACTCCTCTGGTTGTATAGAAGTCTATG